CAGATTATTTACCATCTCAGCCACCAGGGTAGCCCAGTATATTAGCATGGGGGGTCATTATTCTGGTCCAGTTTTACCCAAGACTAAAACTTTTCATACTTAGATTTCATTTCAGAGATTTCATTCACGGAGCATCTGTGAAGAACAATCACCATGTTCAGGGCTTTGCATCCATTTCCTGCTGGATCTTCACAAGGGCTACTGAAGTGGGTACCATTCGTATCCCCACTTTTATAGCTAGGGAAACAGCTGAAATGACCACCAGTCTGGGTATAACCAAGAGGCCTGCCAATCACTTGCCACCCAGCAAAGCCTCAGAAGCCAAGTAAATGGAAGATTTCTATATATTTTGTTTGTTTCAGAAAACACTTTGACATGTCGGCTATAGCCCACATTGGAGTCTGGTCCCCAAAACTGTGTGTCAACTGCCAGCCAATACGGGGGATGCTGGCAGGCTTGGAAAAAGAGACAAGGAGGGGAGTAGCGGGGAATCAAAGGTGAAAGGGAGACAAGGGGAGCACAGAAAAGCGGCAAGGCGGAAACACACGGAGAGTCATGGAGAGGGGCGGAGGGAAGAGATGGGGAAGGCAGAGCAGGAAGCCAGAGACCAGGAGACTCAGAGGGACTGCAATCTCAGTCCACCTTCCACTCGCCCCATCCCTCCCACCAGCCAGAAAACGGGAATGCCATGGAGCAGGAAAGAAGCAGACACGTTCAATACAGAGCTCTGTCCACACGTAATTACAGATCTGTGTCTGCACGCTTACCTTGTCCTCCTTCCCCACCCCAACCCCCACCGAGTTCAAACCTGGCTTCTCCCCAAGAGGCTCACCAGCTCCAGGCTCAGGAGTCAGGAGGAAGGGAGGGAGGAGTTCTTTATCCGAACCACGTTTTGGATTTTTAATAACTTAATTGAGATAAAAGCCACAGACCACCAGTGCCTGGTGAAGCTACTCTCGGGAGGAGAATCTGTGAGGCTGGAGTTAATGCAATTAGGGGCTCACATCAAAGGCTCCTGCAGCCAGCTTCAGGTGAGGGTTTAATCACAACCACGGAAAAGACAGCTCTGGGCCTCGCACATTTGATGAGGGGGCTGATGGATGAGAGACTCAAAAGCAGTTACAGGAGGCAGAGCGAGGGGCAGAAACGACACAGAAAGAAAGAGACCCTGATGCATTTCAGAGACTGGAAACTAGAGCTGCAGGGGAGGGCAAGCCTGTCACAATCCCCAGGGCATCTCAGTAACGCGAAACCACCCGCTCAAATTACACGCTGAAGAACACCTTCCTCTCTTGGCCTTAGGGCCATCTTTTGAGAAATCTCCACGCCACGAGAGTGAAGTGGAGGAAGAAGAGAATGTGCAGGCTGAAGAGCAGAAGAAGAAAGACGAGGCAGGGGTCCAAGGAAACTGGTACACCACGGAGGCCACAGGAGCAGAAACAAGGAGCCAGAGCCAGGGACGCTGGCGCAGACTGCCGGGCTGCATGCCCACCATCCTGAGCTTGTCTCGGCGGGTCTGGGAACATCTATGGCCGTACTGATCACCTCCACCACCTCTGAGAGACCCATCTGGCTCATTATCGAGGCGGTCCCTCTTTCGGTCCTTTGCCCTGGACCCACATGATATTCTACAGTAACTCTCTTCTCAGTTGTGGCCGAATGTAACATGTGTACAATAAATCATCTCTTTTGCTGTCTTAGCTGAAGAAAAAAGAAAAAAAATAAAACAAGCTTCCTTTCCTAGCGGCATTATTCCTAACAGCCGAAACTGGAAACAATTGGCAGATGAGTGGATGAAGGAAACGTGGCTCGGTGGAGCAGGGGAGTATTATGGGGAAGAAGAAAGGAAGGCAGTGCCGATACACATGCAACAACATGGATGAACCCTGAAAACATCATGCTGAGAGACGCCAGGTGCAAAAGACCACGTTACATGATACTGTCTATGTGGCGAGCACAACACGGCCAAATCCATACAGGCAGAAATTAGATGAGTGGTATTTAGGGGTTAGGGGCACAGTCAAGGTGGAGAGGGAGGGGCTGCTCATGGGTGCTTCTTCCCTGCCTTTGGCCAGGGAGGCAGGCGAAGGGAGGTATTTTATTTTGTTTTATTTATTTGTTGATCTTTTGGCCACGCCTTGCAACATGTGGGACCTCGGTCCCCCAACCAGGGATTGAAGCGTTGCACCCTGCAGTGGAGGCACTGGAAGCACAGTCTTAACCCCTGGACCACCAGGGGAGTCCTGATGCAGTTTATTTTTGGGATACTGAAAATGTTCCACGATGAGACTGTGCTGATGGTCACATAACCCTGTGAATACACCAAAACCCACTGAACTGGATAGGTGAAATATACTGTATCAAATGTACCTCAACAGAGCTATAAAACATTTGAAAAATTTTAAGTCACCATTAAAGAATTCCTTTTTTTCCCTTTTCTCCCAAAGATATGGAGTTTCTTTCTCTGGTCATCAGGACAGTTTAATTTTCTGCTTTTTGGTACAAACTCAGAAGCAAAGGAGAGGCTTTGTACAGATGGCAGTTAACCAAACACCGTGAAAGCGACAAGAAGAGGCAATGGAGGATGAGATGAGAGCTAAATCTGTCCCTCCACCAAACCCCTATGCTCAGGGTGAAACCTTCTGTGTGGCTAAGGGCTCCCCTAAGTCATCCTCAGAGCAGAAGGGCCACTCCTGATCGGCTTCTCCAGAGCACGCCACCTGCCTTTTGCCCACTGTATTTAGTGGGTCATTACAGAAGGCAAGTCTACAGCCTTCATGTTGTTCAGTGGCTAAGTCGTGTCCAGCTCTTTGTGACCCCATATGGACAGCAGCATGCCAGGCTTTCCTGTCCTTCACTATCTCCCAGAGTTTGCTCAAAACCACACCCACTGAGTCAGTGATGCCATCCAACCATCTCATCCTCTGTTGCCCACTTCTGCTCCTGCCCTCAATCTTTCCCAGCATCAGGGTCTCTTCCAATGAGCCAGCTCTTCACATCAGGTGGCCAAAGTATTGGAGTTTCAGCTTCAGCATCAGTCCTTCCAGTGAATATTCAGGGTTGATTTCCTTTAGGACTGACTGGTTGGATCTCCTTGCAGTCCAAGGGACTCTCAAGAGTCTTCTCTAGCACCACAGTTCGAAAGCATCAATTCTTCAGTGCTCAGCCTTCTTTAAGTCCATCTCTCACATCCACACCTGACTACTGGAAAAACCATAGCTTTGACTCTACAGACGTTTGATGGCAAAGTGATGTTTCCGCTTTTTAATACACTGTCTAGGTTTGTTATAGCTATTCTTCCATGGAGCAAGTGTCTTTTAACTTCATGGCTGCAGTCGCTGTCTGCAGTGATTTTGGAGCCCAAGAAAATGAAATCTGACACTCTTTCCACATTTTCCCCATCTATTTGCCATGAAGTGATAGAATGCCATGATCTTAGTTTTTTGAGTGTTGAGTTTTAAGCCAGCTTTTTCACTCTCCTCTTTCACCCTCATCAAGAGACTCTAGTTCCTCTTCATAGGTGGTCACTTTGTGACAGACAGTGGTTCACAAAAATCCAAAGACTTTCCATACCAGTTTCTGCTTTACTTGAATAAAGGAGGTCACTGTAACTGTTTCTTAAAAAAAAAAACAAATCTATCCAATTCTTACCGGGTGGCCTTCTACAGTACATTTTACAGCAATGGAGCCTTCAAAGAATTATCAGAATGTAATATCAGAATAAGTCCCTTGATCAACCTGAGTCTCGCCTCCTGACCTATACACAGAAGAATGACCCAGGCCTATCAGAATATTCAGTCTCAAAGGGACAAGTCGGCCTGTGTCTGCACATCATGGGAGCAGAAACACTTGCAGAAGCAGAGCTCCAGGAAACTTCAGAAAGACTCTAATTTCCTGGAATTTTAATAATTTCCTCTAGTATTACATTAATTTAAAAACTAAGACACAGTTTCCCTGCAAAGCTCCTCTGAACATTTGTGGAAGGCAAACAAGATGCAAAGAGAGGACAGATTCCTGGTCTCTTACATTTAGCTACACTGATATTTTTGTAAAAACTTGAGCACAATCTGTTTATTACATCACTGTAAGTTAACAACAGAGCCAGCTGACAGGCCAAAGATGAATTCTATCATTGAGAACGAAAGACTGTTCAGGAAATTTGTGGATGGGGGGCTGATCTGGGGGAGTGTGAAACAAATACACAGTTGATAGCGCTCCTCTAACCCAGCTGACAGGCACCTTTGAACAAGCTGCTAGTCTTTCAGAAGGCAGGTGGGAAAAAAGGATCTCATGTCTTCATGGGCCTTGAAATTCCTCCTAAAGCAATTCCTGTCTGGTCCCAGCTTCTCCAGGGCACTAGCTGCTGGGGACCACGGAGCACTCCTACAGAACCACACGTCTGCACGGGTCGAGGGCATCAGCCAGTGGGCGACGGAGCTCTGCGTACACAGCAGGAGCAGTCCTGGTGACCTGCGAAGCAGAGGTTCCAAATAGAGCCATAGGAATAAGGGAGACTGAAGTGGAACTGACCAGAGTGAGCGGCAAACAAAACCCATGGACCCTTGAGAACTGATCCAGTAAGCCGACCCCACACTTTGGAAGCACACGGCCAACCACAGAGTGGGGTGAGGGTGATGAAGACACATGCCAACACCTGTGATCATGGAAAGTACAAGGTCAGTGAGAGAAGATGAGGACCTCAGGCACAGACCTGAACAGAAGATTTCTCTCTGGGTATCAAGAACCTGATCCGTAGACCTGGGGAATCTTCCACACTGCCTTAAAACCTACACCCAAACTTGTCTGTTTCCCAGTAGCTTATTTACAAGAGACACTACTGGGGACATAAGAAATCACTTAGGATCTTATTAATTACATGCCATTTCCTTCACCCACAGCTTGAGCTATAACACATATGACAGCATCAGGAGCTGCATTTACACTTTACTGTAGTATCATGATTAGAATTAACAGTCTGCCAAATGAACAGCCAGACTTACCAATTCTCTGATTAAAAATCTTGTCAAAGGTGATTTCGTGTCTCTCCTCAAGATACTTCTGCATCACGCTCCGGATACTAGAAGAGAAGAGTGACATGTTTTTAACAATGCCAGCCTCCATCCCTAGAAAGGAAAATACACGATGTCTTCATTTGAGGGCACTAGCTTGATTAACTCTATTCTGGTATTCACTGTACACTTTAAACATATATAATTTTGTCAGTTATAACTCAATAAAAAAAAAATGCTCCCATCAAAAGGATATTGGCTTGACAAAAGACGCCTATTACTGACACCCACAGCTGCACGAACAGCTGACTCAATTTAAAGCTCACACCTCTGGCGAGCACTCTCTCCTGCAGCCCAGGGCCAACCTTACATGTTAAGTTTGCTGTTGCCGAGTCGTTAAACCGTGTCCGACTCCTTTTTCCTGCATCGACTACAGCCCACCAGGCTCCTCTATCCAGGGGATTTCCCAGGCAAGGCTACTGGACTGGGTTGCCATTTCTTTCTCCAGGAGATCTTCCCTACTTAATTAAAAAAAATAACACAAGGAATTTGGGGAAGTTCTCCCTCAACACCACCACTTTCCAAAAATAATAAAGATGTGCGTGCACACACACATGACAAATTCTGCTAACCTATCAATGAGATTCTTTCTAAAGAAAAAGCCAATGTTCCCTGGATATATTAATATCAAAAAATCATACTACTACACAGCAAGCATAAACTACAAGAAAATATAATTAGAAAGAAGATTTCACTTACACCAGAGTAAGAAACATTGAATGTCTTTAAATAAATCTTTCAAAATATGTGTAGGACTGTTATTACAAAGTTGTATTGAGAGACAGTTAAGAAGTTTTTAATAAGTAGAAAGATACAGTATGGTAAGGAACAGAAAGATTTAATATTGCAAAAACTCTAATCAGATTTATCTACAGTATCAATATAACTCCCGTCAATATTCCAACAGGATTTTCCATAGAACACGGACACAGATAAGCTTTTTATAAAGTGCATGCAAAAAAACACAGGCTCAAAAATAGCCAGGACATTTCTGAAGAAAGAGAATGATGATTAAAAGGCCCATTATGAAGCTAAAATAGTCAAGACAGGATAAACAAACTGACCAATGAAATGGAACAGGAATCACATAAACTGACCCGCACATGCATGGAACTTTGATATGTAACTGAAGTGGCAAGGCAGGAAAATGGAGAAAGGAGCAATTATTCAATAAGCAAACCTCCAAAACTATTATCCAAATAGAAAAAGCAGAAATTAAATCTCTATCATCTACTGATGGGCAATAGTTTGGCATCATTTCCCCTTGCCACCCTTTCTTTTGCTTTTTGAAACAAACTGAGGTAATTAAATGCATGTTTAAGTGTACCGTTAAATGAGTTTTTCACATACACTACTGTCCTAATCAAGATACCACATATTTATATTTTCCAAAAAGTGCTCTTTTGCAATCTATCTCCCCAAATTCTAGGATCTGAGCACACTACTGATCTCCTCCTTTCTGTTTAATAAAGACAATTTGCTATAGTTCTAGAATTCTATATAGATAAAATAATGCACTATATTGTCTTTTGTTTTTGGTTTCTTTCCTTCAGCATAAACAAGCTTCACCTGTATTGCTATGTGCATAAGTTTTTAGTTCCTTCTTATTGCCAAGAAGTGTGTTATTGTATGAATATTCTACCATTTGTTTATCTGTTCATCTGTTGATAGACATTTGGGCTGTTTCCAGTTTAGGGCTATTATAAATAAACCTGCTTTAAACATTTATGTACAAGTTTTCTCATGGGCATGTGTTTTCATTTTTCATGGGTAAATATCTAGAAGTGAAACTGTTGGTCATATGGTGAATTATATTGAACATTATGAGACATTATGAGAGACATTATGGAACCATATTCCGAACTAGGTGTAGGATTAATTCTTCAGTAAATGGTCTGTGCTAAGAAATCTCTCACATCCTAATCTATTTTCCCTTAGAAATTTTAAAGTTTAGATTTTATGTTTAGGTGTAAGATCCATTTCATGTTATTTCTGTGTACAATGCAAGGTAAGAACCAAGGTTCTTTTTCTCCTTCTAATACATAATTGTTCTGATATCATTTGTTGAAAAATTTATCCTTTCTCTACTGAATTTTCCTGGCATCTTTGTTCATTCAACACTAAATATGTGTTGGTCTATCTTTGGATTATTGTGCTACATTGATCTATATGTCTATTCTTCACAAAAACACCACCGTATCTTGATTGCATTAGGTTAAAACACAAGCTGACGCCAGGAGGCTTGGTTGTCTAAGTGTTCTAACACAGTTCTACGCCTTTGGTTTGGTTTGTGTTTGTTTTTTGGCTATCCTGGGATCACTGCATTTAAGCTTTATAAGTCAACATGGAAATTTCTTCCCAGAAAAAGCTTACTGAGACTCTGATGGGGATTTTGTTGAATTCATAGATCAATTTTAGAGAAATTAACCTCAAGATATTAAGTGTACTACACATAAATATATTTTTCCATTTATGTAAGCTTCTTTAATTTCTCTTAGCACTATTTCATACCTTTCAGTGTAGAAGTTTTACTCTTTCTCTTATAATAGCTTTCTTTGGTTTTGGTATTAAGATAGTATGATTCATAAAATGAGATGGGAATTATTCCTCTTTATTTAATTGTTCTGAAAAAGCTGGTATAAGACAGTATTAATTCTTCAAATGTTTGACAGAACTCTTCAGTGAAGCCATATGAGCTTGGAATTTTCTTTTTTGGGAAGGTTTTAAATTACAAATTTCATTTTTTTCACAGATACAGGACCATACATATTTTCTATTTATTCTTGTGTTGGCAACTTTTATCTTTTAAAGAACTTGTCCCATTCACCCAAATTGTCAAATTACTAAGATTTGATCTTATTTCTTTGTTGTTCTTTCTTTGGCTTTGTTTCAGTTGCTGCAGGCGGGATCTTTAGATGAGGCATGTGAACTCCTAGTTGCAGCACGTGGAATCTAGTTCTCCAACCAGGGATTGAACCTCGGCCCCCTGCACTGGGAGCTCGGAGTCTTAGCCACTGAACCACCAGGAAAGCACCCCCCCCTTTTTTTTAATTGTCCTTTTAATGTCTGTAAAAGTTCTTCAGTCATTCTTTATACTGTTAAAGTGTATGTTCTTTTTGTTTTCCTTTGATCATGCTAGCTAGATGTATATCAATCATACTGATCTTTAGTTTTTGTTTCATTCATTTTCTTCTATTATTTACACTTTTTATATTTATTGATTTCCACTCTGTTATTTAAATGTTTATAATTTACTATGAGATTAAATTGCTATTTTTCCAATTTCTTAAAAAGTCAGATCAATGAATTTAAACATTTCTAATATAACCATTTAAAGTTATAAAATTTTCTCTATGCACTGATTTAACTGTATCTCACAGATATTAATACAGTCTGTTTTCACTTTCATTCAATTCAAATTACTGTCTAATTTCTCTTGGTATTTCTTTCTTGAACTATGAGTTATTTATAACTGAGTTGACTCATTTCCAGATATTTGGAGATTTCTGGATATCTTTCTTTCTTTTTTTTGTTTTTTTAAGAGGACAAACTTTTTATTGAAAAAACAAAACAGGTACAGAAAGACACATAAAACAAATATATAGCTTACTGACTTATTACGAGGTAAACACTTGTGTGACCACCATTCAAGCCAAGAAATACTGATAAAACTCTGCCAATTCCAGAGTTACTGAATTTTTTAAATTGTTACTCAATTTTGCTTCAAAAACAGAAATTTTGATTCTGCTCTTCAAAAGACACTGGAGAAAATTAAAAGACAAAGCATAGACAGAGAAAATGCTGGCAGATCATATTCTGATTGAGGAACGGTGTTCAGCATGCATAACGGCTTTTCAAAGTTCAAGAATAACAAAACAAACAACCTAATTTTAAAAAATGGGTAAATGATGTATACAGACACTTCACCAAAGAAGATAAGTGGATGGCAAACAAGCATACGAAGAGATTCTCAACAGTGTTAGTCATTAGGAAAAGGCAAACTAAACTCATAGTGAGATGTTACTACACACCTATAAACTAGCTAAAATTAGAAAAGACTGACCATACCACATGTCGGCAAAGATGTGGAATAACTAGAATTCTCACACACAACTAGTGGGAAGGTTAAAAGGGAATAACTGGGCAGTTTCTTAATAAGTTAAAACACAAACCACTATATAACCAACCCATCAATTCCACTTCTAGGTATTTATCCTAGAGAAATGAAAGCATATATCCATAAACAGACTTGTACATGAACGTTCTTAGCAGTGTTACTTGTGATGATCAAACACTGGAAACCCAAATGCCACCAACAGATGAATAAGTATGAGTGGATATCCATATTATGAAAGAATATTCAACAATAGAAAGGAATAAATTATTGATATAACATACATGATCTCAAAATAATTATTCTTAGTATAAGGAGCCAGGAGCCACGACATAAAAAAATAGAGTACATATTGTTTGATCACAGAGCGGCAGGAGCAAACTTCTAGAGACAATATACATAGCCCTTCCCCACCCCCAAAAAAAAATGTATCTGGGGCTTCCCTGGTGGCTCAGTGGTAAAGAATCCACCAGCCAGTGCAGGAGATACGGGTTTGATCCCTGATCCAAGAAAATTCCACATACTGCTGAGCAAAAGTCTGTGTGCCACAACTACTGAGCCCGTGCTCCAGGGCCAGGGAGCTGCAACTACTGAGTCCACACGCCCCGGAGCCTGCGCTCTGCAACAAGAGAAGCCGCCACTGTGAGAAGCCCGCGCACTGCAGCTAGGGAGCGGCCTCCACTCTCTGCAACTAGAGAGAAGCCAAAATAAATAAAATCTCACACACACATATCTGGTCTCTCTCCTGGTTCCCGGCACAGAGCTCCTAAAGCCTGTGGCATTCTCTGAGTGATAGGAATGTCTTATTCATTAGGAGTACTTTTCATCCATACTTGAGTTTATGCTGATGAAGTGACTAAGAGGACTCTCTGGTATGATTCTTTCTTGTGCATG